ATGGAGGTTGTAAGTGTTGTTAGGAAAGTGTTAAGTAACAATATGTCAAAAAAATATCGACTGGTGTTAATATGTTACTTATAAAAGTCTTAAGTGTAAGGTCACATGTGCAGTGCTAACACTGTTGATCAGAACATGTGCAGTGCTAACACTGTTGATCAGAACACCTGCAGTGCTAACACTGTTGATCAGAACACCTGCAGTGCTAACACTGTTGATCAGAACACCTGCAGTGCTAACATGTTGATCAGAACACCTGCAGTGCTAACACTGTTGATCAGAACACCTGCAGTGCTAACACTGTTGATCAGAACACCTGCAGTGCTAACACTGTTGATCAGAACACCTGCAGTGCTAACACTGTTGATCAGAACACCTGCAGTGCTAACACTGTTGATCAGAACACCTGCAGTGCTAACACTGTTGATCAGAACACCTGCAGTGCTAACACTGTTGATCAGAACATTTGCAGTGCTAACACTGTTGATCAGAACACCTGCAGTGCTAACACTGTTGATCAGAACATGTGCAGTGCTAACACTGTTGATCAGAACACCTGCAGTGCTAACACTGTTGATCAGAACACCTGCAGTGCTAACACTGTTGATCAGAACACCTGCAGTGCTAACACTGTTGATCAGAACATGTGCAGTGCTAACACTGTTGATCAGAACACCTGCAGTGCTAACACTGTTGATCAGAACACGTGCAGTGCTAACACTGTTGATCAGAACATGTGCAGTGCTAACACTGTTGATCAGAACATGTGCAGTGCTAACACTGTTGATCAGAACACCTGCAGTGCTAACACTGTTGATCAGAACACCTGCAGTGCTAACACTGTTGATCAGAACATGTGCAGTGCTAACACTGTTGATCAGAACATGTGCAGTGCTAACACTGTTGATCAGAACACCTGCAGTGCTAACACTGTTGATCAGAACACGTGCAGTGCTAACACTGTTGATCAGAACACCTGCAGTGCTAACACTGTTGATCATAACACCTGCAGTGCTAACACTGTTGATCAGAACACCTGCAGTGCTAACACTGTTGATCAGAACACCTGCAGTGCTAACACTGTTGATCAGAACACCTGCAGTGCTAACACTGTTGATCAGAACACGTGCAGTGCTAACACTGTTGATCAGAACACCTGCAGTGCTAACACTGTTGATCAGAACACCTGCAGTGCTAACACTGTTGATCAGAACACCTGCAGTCCTAACACTGTTGATCAGAACACCTGCAGTGCTAACACTGTTGATCAGAACACCTGCAGTGCTAACACTGTTGATCAGAACACCTGCAGTGCTAACACTGTGATCAGAACACCTGCAGTGCTAACACTGTTGATCAGAACACCTGCAGTGCTAACACTGTTGATCAGAAAACGTGCAGTGCTAACACTGTTGATCAGAACACCTGCAGTGCTAACACTGTTGATCAGAAACACCTGCAGTGCTAACACTGTTGATCAGAACACGTGCAGTGCTAACACTGTTGATCAGAACACCTGCAGTGCTAACACTGTTGATCAGAACACCTGCAGTGCTAACACTGTTGATCAGAACACCTGCAGTGCTAACACTGTTGATCAGAACACCTGCAGTGCTAACACTGTTGATCAGAACACGTGCAGTGCTAACACTGTTGATCAGAACACCTGCAGTGCTAACACTGTTGATCAGAACACCTGCAGTGCTAACACTGTTGATCAGAACACCTGCAGTGCTAACACTGTTGATCAGAACACCTGCAGTGCTAACACTGTTGATCAGAACACCTGCAGTGCTAACACTGTTGATCAGAACACTAAGCAAAGGTTCGACTACACATTTGCAATTGCACCACTAGGCACCACTAGGGAGTTAGTCAGCTGTCACGGGCTGTTTCCTGGGGGGGTGGAGGCCTGGTCGAGGACCGGACCGCGGGGACACTAAAAGCCCCGAAATCATCTCAAGATAACCTCAAGATAACACTTTGAAACTACTGACGGTCTTGGCCTCCACCACCTTCTCACCTAACTTGTTCCAACTGTCTACAACTCTGTGAAAGTAAGCTTTCACAGAGGCTCTTCAGCAGTCCATAAACATCCCCTGAATCCTCGTACTGCGAGCTATTGCAAGCTCCCAGGCTGAGGATTGTTGCAAATGTCAACGGATCAATACTTTAAAGGTGCGAGAGTATATATATCTAGGAAAACAAATCCACATTTGCTGAGCCAAATTTTAATCTCGTAGAATTGGTCTGTGTATGGGGGTCACCTGGGGTCTGGGACGGGTCTGTGTATAGAGCCTGGGGTCACAGCGGGTCTGGAACGGGTCTGTCTATGGACCCTCTGGTCACTGGGGTCTGGGACGGGTCTGTCTATGGAACCTGGGGTCACCGGGGGTCTGTCTATGGAGCCACCGGGGGTCTGTCTATGGAGCCTGGGGTCCGGGACCTGTCTATGGAACCTGGGACCGGGGGTCTGTCTATGGAGCCTGGGGTCACAGGGGGTCTGGAACGGGTCTGTCTATGGAACCTGGGGTCACCGGGGGTCTGTCTATGGAGCCTGGGGTCACCTGGGGTCCGGGACGGGTCTGTCTATGGAGCCTGGGGTCACTGGGGGTCCTAGGAGCCTGGGTCTGTCTATGGACCCTGGGGTCTGTCTAGGGAGTCTGGGGTCACGTGTCTGGGGTCACCGGGACTGTCTGGGGTCTCTGGGGGTCCAGGACGGGTCTGTCTATGGACCTGGGGTCACAGGGAGTCTGGGACGGGTCTGTCTGGACCTGGGGTCACTGGCGTCCAGGACGGGTCTGTCTATGGAGCTTGGGGTCACAGGGGGTCCAGGACGGGTCTGTCTATGGACCCTGGGGTCACAGGGGGTTCCGGGACGGGTCTGTCTATGGACCCTGGGGTCACAAGGTGTCCGGGACGGATCTGTCTATGGACCCTGGGGTCACAGGGGGTCTGGAACGGGTCTGTCTATGGACCCTGGGGTCTGGGACGGGTCTGTCTATGGAACCTGGGGTCACCGGGGGTCTGTCTATGGAGCCTGGGGTCACCTGGGGTCCGGGACGGGTCTGTCTATGGAGCCTGGGGTCACAGGGGTCTGGGACGGGTCTGTCTATGGGGTCACGTGGGGTCTGGGACGGGTCTGTCTATGGGGGTCACCTGGGGTCCGGGACGGGTCTGTCTATGGACCCTGGGGTCACAGGGGGGTCCAGGACGGGGTCTGTGATGGCTGACAGAATCTCATCCACTTTTAACAGTTAGAAATAAGTCAGAATTCACAAATGACAAAATATTCAGGAAATCCGTTGATAAAAATCCCTTAATTTCGATCTATAGCACCATAGTCATAGAGGCTGGTGGGCTGGTCCAGGGTAGACCACGACCAGGAGACCAACCACGAGGGTAGACTGGGAGGAGACCGAGGAGATCGAGTCTCCTGGTCTCCTCTGGGCTGCCTTTGTGTCTCTAAGGTGTTGACGGGGTCGGCCTGTCAGCAGCCAAGGCGCGTCCTCCATCTTAAGTTCCTGTTGATAGTCCTCCCTCCTCACCTCTGTGTCTCTGCCTCCACACACCTGCATGCACGTATACACATGTGCACACACACACGCACATGCACGCATACATACATGTTTTTCAGTGTCAGAGTAGTTAACAGGTGGAATGCATTAGGCAGTGATGTGGTGGAGGCTGACTCCATACACAGTTTATAATGTAGATATGATAGAGCCCAGTAGGCTCAGGAACCTGTACACCAGTTGATTGACAGTTGAGAGGCGGGACCAAAGAGCCAGAGCTCAACCCCCGCAAGCATAACTAAGTGAGTACAACTAGGTGAACACACACACACACACACAGCAGTGAGAAGAGAGGCAGGACTTTGAAAAAGGAATAGCGAACAAATGTGAAACAGATCCAGACCTGTTCTATATATTCATTAACAGCAAGCTGCGGGTAAAAGATAAAATCCAGAGATTGAGAACGGGGGAACAGGACTACTGAGAATGAACAAGAAATGTGTGAGACGCAAAATGAACAGTTCCAAAGTGTTTGTACAAAATAAGGATTTCAGAGACCCGGACACAATGCCAATTCCAGAGCACGCCATAGAATACATAGAAGTATATCAAGACGAAGTGGGAAAATGACTCGAGGATCTGGGAAGAAATAAAGCAGTTGGACCTGATGGAGTTTCACCTTAGGTGCTGCGAGAATGTGCAACTGACCTGAGCATTCCACTCTAATTGATAATCCAGACATCTTTGTGCACCGGAATCTTAGCAGATATATGGAGGAAGGCAAACACAGTACCAATCTACACAATTGGTAGTCGACAGGAACCTCCAAATTATAGAGCCGTATCATTAACAAGCATGGTGGTCACAACACTAGAAACAATAGTTAAAGCCAAATGGGTTGAGCAATTGAAGAGTAATGACATAATATCAGAACAGTGTGGTTTTCCAAGAGCTTAGCTTTATGATAGTCACAGAGATACTACCAGGAATCTTTGCGGTTGGGATAGACCCAGTCAATCCAACCATCTCTACAGGATATGGTTGGGTTGACTGAGTCTATCTGGACCTAAAAAAGACTTTTGGTAGAGTCCCACACAAGAGGCTGTTGTGGAAACTGGAACATGCTGGAGGCGTGACAGGAAGACTTCTGACTGGATGAAAGATGTTCTGACAGACAGATGATGGCAGTAATCAGAGACTGTATCTGACTGGAGGAGTGTTACTAGCGGAGTACCACAGGGCTCAGTTCTTGCACCAGTAATGTTCATCATCTACATAAACGATTTACTAGAAGGAATACAGAATTATATGAGCATGTTTGTGGTTGATGCTAAGACACTGAGCAAGACAGGAGACACAGACGATTGTAATGCCCTTCAAATTGATGTAGATAAAGTAGGTGCTTGGAGCGTCAAGTGGCAAATGGAATTCAATGTGAATAAATGTCATGGAATGTGGAATCGTAGAAAATAGATCACACACAAGTTATAAATTATGTGGAAAGGAGTTACAGAACTCTGATAAAGAAGGAGACCTTAGGGGTGGTTTAAGATAGTAAGCTGTCGCCAGAGGAACACATGAAGAACACTGTGAGAGGAGCGTATGTGTCGCTTTCCAACTTCACACTTGCTGTTAATTATATGGCTGGTGAGATACTAAAGAAACTGTTCATGACGTATGTGAGACCAAAACTGGAATATGCAGCAGTTGTATGGTGACCAAATCTCAAGAAGCACATAAAGAAACTGGAAAAGGTGCAGAGACATGCTACAAAATGGCTTCCAGAACTGAGAAACAAGACTTACGAGGAGAGACTAGAACCGTTAAACATGCCGAAACTAGAAGAGAGGTGACATGATCACCACTTACAAAATACCGACAGGAATAGACCAAGTTGACAAAGAAGAATTCTTGAAACCAGCAACTTTACGAACAACGGGACACATTCAAACTAAGAAAACAAAGGTTATCTTGAGATGATTTCGGGGCTTTAGTGTCCCCGCGGCCCGGTCCTCGACCAGGCCTCCACCCCCAGGAAGCAGCCCGTGACAGCTGACTAACACCCAGGTACCTATTTTACTGCTAGGTAACAGGGGCATAGGGTGAAAGAAACTCTGCCCATTGTTTCTCGCCGGCGCCCGGGATCGAACCCGGGACCACAGGATCACAAGTCCAGCGTGCTGTCCGCTCGGCCGACCGGCTCCCGGTTATACGACAAAGAGTGCTGGGATGAATCATAGATACCAGAAGGAACTTTGTCAGTCTTGAGAGACGTAAATAAGTGGAACAGACTGGACGAGGAAGCTGTCGAAGGCAACCAAGTCTATAAACAACTTTATAAATGATAATAAAAATGAAATAAAAAATGTACCTACAGCAAAATACAGATGGTCGAAAGGCGGGGCTTAAGAGCAGAGCTCAACCCCCGCAAGCACAACTAGGTGAATACAACTAGGTGAGTGCACACACTCCCTCATCCACTGGAGCACCTTCCCTTTTACTCGTGCCTGTTGCTCCAACTTTTTTAACAGCCTTTTATGCGGTACTGTGTCAAAGGCTTTCTGACACAGTACCCCATAAAAGGCTGTTACAAAAGTTGGAGCAACAGGCAGGAGTAAAAGGGAAGGTGCTCCAGTGGATAAGGGAGTACTTAAGCAACAGGAAACAGCGAGTAACGGTGAGGGGGGAGACATCAGAGTGGCGAGATGTCACCAGCGGAGTCCCACAGGGCTCAGTACTTGGACCCATCCTGTTTCTAATATATGTAAACGATCTTCCAGAGGGTATAGACTCATTCCTCTCGATGTTTGCTGATGATGCACAAATTATGAGAAGAATCAAGACAGATGAAGATAGACAGAGACTACAGGATGACCTGGACAAACTGGAGCAATGGTCTAGAAAATGGCTGCTAAAGTTCAACTCAGGAAAGTGTCAAGTAATGAAATTAGGCGAAGTAAGCAGAAGGCTGAGCACAAGGTACCATCTGGGAGGTGAAATCCTGCAAGAGTCGAATGGAGAAAGATCTGGGGGTTGATATCACACCGAACCTGTCCCCAGAGGCACACATCAAAAAGATATCATCAGCGGCATATGCTAGACTAGCCAACATTAGAACTCCCTTTAGAAACTTGTATAAGGAATCGATCACGACCTTGTATACCACTTATGTCAGACCAATCCTGGAGTATGCAGCTCCAGCTTGGAGTCCATACTTAGTTAACTATAAGTCAAGGTTAGAGAAGATTCAGAGGTATGCCACTAGAACAGTCCGAGAACTGAGAGGTATGAGCTACGAGGACAGGCTAAAGGAGCTGAACCTCACATCCCTGGAAGACAGAAGAGTAAGGGGAGACATGATAACCACCTACAAAATTCTGAATGAAGTTGACAGGGTGGACAAAGACAAATTCTTTACCACGGATGGTACGCGAACAAGGGGACACAGGTGGAAACCTAATACCCACATGAGCCACAGAGACGTTAGAAAGAGCTTTTTCAGTGTCAGAGTAGTTAACAGGTGGAATGCATTAGGCAGTGATGTGGTGGAGGCTGACTCCATACACAGTTTATAATGTAGATCTGATAGAGCCCAATAGGCTCAGGAACCTGTACACCAGTTGATTGACAGTTGAGAGGCGGGACCAAAGAGCCAGAGCTCAACCCCCGCAAGTACAAATAGACGAGTACACACACACACACACAAACCATAGAGTTAAGCAGACATACATCATACACTCCCTACAGCCAAACATCATACACTCCCTCGCTCCTAAAGTCATTTACTAACTAAACGAATACTGTCATACGCAGTCGCATATTCATAATTACCTCTTCACCGAATGACAACACCAACAGTCACTTTGATCGCAGCCACACTGACAACCTCACTATAATCACACCACAATTGCCTCTATAATATAATTATACTAATTATATTTACAGCACAGATTAAGCACCATGCGAATTGTGAATTATACGACAGAGCTTTTTCCAGTGGTGTAGTGAAGCCTGTGTTGTCACGTCACGGTGGGGTGGAGGGAAGGTTTGTAACACACACTCAAGGTGTTGTATCAGTCACTTCTAACACATTAGGTGTTGTATCAGTCACTTGTAACACATTAGGTGTTCAATACGGGCTATGGTGAGCCCGTAGTGGACTTACCTGGCACAGGAGCGGGGCAAGTAGCACGGGCTATGGTGAGCCCGTAGTGGACTTACCTGGCACAGGAGCGGGGCAAGTAGCACGGGCTATGGTGAGCCCGTAGTGGACTTACCTGGCACAGGAGCGGGGCAAGTAGCACGGGCTATGGTGAGCCCGTGGTGGACTTACCTGGCACAGGAGCGGGGCAAGTAGCACGGGCTATGGTGAGCCCGTGGTGGACTTACCTGCCACAGGAGCGGGGCAAGTAGCACGGGCTATGGTGAGCCTGTAGTGGACTTACCTGGCACAGGATACCCAGAAAGGTATCTCCTTACTAATTCACCCAAGACACTACTGGGCCAGTCTGGCCTAGGGTCCCACTAGGCCTGGCCTAGGGCCTCGGCCAAGAGGCTCTCAGAGTCTGAATGTGGGTCTGAGCTCTCAATGCTGAAGCCTTAAAGTCTTGTTTCCCTCAACGTGCTCCACTAGTTATGGGGGAACTAGGCAGTTAAGGTCCGGTCGTTAACATGGTCTACGGCTCCTTCACCACCCAACAGTGACGTGGCGGCTCCTGGTGGTTTTGGCGGGAAGATGACGAGGCGGCTCCTGGTGGTTTTGGCGGGAAGATCACAGCTCACACAAGCTTTCGATCCATATAATTGTAAGATTACCAGGTTGTTGACCTGGTTACTAGGTGTTGACCACAAGACCTGACCTGGGGGGAGGTGGACCTGACTACATATTGGGGGGGTATAGCAGGCACATATTGGAGGTACGACAGCTACATATTGGGGAGTACAGGACCCATATAGTAGCGCCACACCGAGCACGCCCGTACACAAGTCTACGATAGTCACTGCTCCTGAGCAGTGCAACCAACGCTGAGTGACAGCATGAGCCGGTGTTCAGGAGCTAGAACTCGACCCTGCCAGGATATATAGTTGAGCGCGCGCACACACACACACACACGCACACACACACACACACACACACACACACACACACACACACACACACACACACACACACACACACACACACACACACACACACATGGAGAAGATTGTGAGAAAAAACTTAGTAACACATCTGGAGAGAAGAGACTTCGTGACAACCCATCAACATGGGTTCAGGGAGGGTAAATCTTGCCTTACAGGCTTGATAGAATTCTACGATCAGGTGACAAAGATTAAACAAGAAAGAGAAGGGTGGGTAGGACTGCATTTTTTTGGACTGTCGGAAAGCCTTTGACACAGTACCCCATAAAAGGTTGATGCATAAGCTAGAGAAACAGGCAGGAGTAACTGGTAGGGCGCTCCAGTGGATAAGGGAGCACCTAAGCAATAGGAAGCAGAGAGTTACAGTGAGGGGTGAGACCTCAGACTGGCGTGAAGTCACCAGTGGAGTCCCACAGGGCTCTGTACTTGGACCTATCCTGTTTCTTATATACGTAAATGATCTCCCAGAGGGTATAGACTCATTCCTCTCAATGTTTGCTGACGACGCCAAAATTATGAGAAGGATTAAGACAGAGGAGGACAGCTTGAGGCTTCAAGAAGACCTGGACAAGCTGCAGGAATGGTCGAACAAATGGCTGTTAGAGTTTAATCCAAGCAAATGTAATGTAATGAAGATAGGGGTAGGAAGCAGGAGACCAGATACAAGGTACCATTTGGGAGATGAAATACTTCAAGAGTCAGAGAGAGAGAAAGACCTGGGGGTTGATATCACGCCAGACCTGTCCCCTGAAGCTCATATCAAGAGGATAACATCAGCAGCATATGCCAGGCTGGCTAACATAAGAACGGCCTTTAGAAACTTGTGTAAGGAATCTTTCAGAACATTATATACCACATATGTCAGACCAATCCTGGAGTATGCGGCTCCAGCATGGAGTCCATATCTAGTCAAGCATAAGACTAAACTGGAAAAGGTTCAAAGGTTTGCCACCAGACTAGTACCCGAGCTGAGAGGTATGAGCTACGAGGAGAGACTACGGGAATTAAACCTCACTTCGTTGGAAGACTGAAGAGTTCGGGGGGACATGATCACCACATTCAAGATTCTTAAGGGAATCGACAGGGTTGATAAAGACAGTCTATTTAACACAAGGGGCACACGCACTAGGGGACACAGGTGGAAACTGAGTGCCCAAATGAGCCACAGAGATATTAGAAAGAACTTTTTTAGTATCAGAGTGGTTGACAAATGGAATGCATTAGGGGGTGATGTGGTGGAGGCTGACTCCATACACAGTTTCAAGTGTAGATATGATAGAGCCCGATAGGCTCAGGAACCTGTACACCTGTTGATTGACAGTTGAGAGGCGGGATCAAAGAGC